CACATTCCCGATGGCCTCACACCTGCCTTCGCCCAGATTATAGTTACCCGTCGTCACGAAGCCGATCAAATCGACCTCGTCCGGGACCGGCGGATACTCCTTCTCACCCGCTTTCGGCAACCCCGTCTCGGGGGATGCGACGCTGCCGCTGAGAAGGCTCGCGGCAAGGTTGTTGGCAACACGAGCATGCTGCGGGACATGCTTCGGAGGTGGTGGCCGTGAGTGTCGAGCACCCTTTGAGGCTTTAGGTGGGTTGGCCAGAGCGAGCCATTTGGCGCGCATCTCGGGGTTGCTGGTCGGGAGGCGGTAGATGCGTGCGCTGCGAGTAGGGTGGCCGGCTGTGAGGAGGGTGATGTGGACTGGGGAGAGAGCTGTAGGTGGGATTAGAGGCGTGGTTGAGGGGGGGTTAGGGAGGTGGTGGATCTTGAGGGGTGGGTTTGGGGCCTCGGTGGGGATTTGCTCTGGCTGTTGGTCTTTGGGCGGAGGCGGAGCAGGTTTGGTTGCGTCTTTGGCAGCTTTCTCAGGTCCTGCCGAAGAGTATTTCTCTGCAGCTTCTGTACGGGCCGGCGACGAAGGGCCTTGGAAAAGACGGTCCCAGTCGCAGGCCCAACCCATACCGAGTTCTCCTTTCCTCCCTTCCCCAAGATCTACTTTGTTCCATTCTGTCCTCTTGCCTTTTGGCCGCCGCTCCCACTCCTGCTTCTTTCTTTCTCGTTCCATCAGCTCCCATTGATACCCTGCTTTCGTACCAGGATAGTCACCAGGGAACCAGGGTACGCCCTGCTCGAAAGACACCTGCTTCTTCTCTTGCAGACCGCCGAAGCGAGGGTTTCCGCCAGTGGAGAGAGGATAGTGCATCAGAGAATACCAGACGGGAAGGACGCAGTCCCAGGGGAGAAGCAAGGTCCACGTGCCTTGACCATTTTTGGTGCGTGGACGAGATGCTAGGAGTAGGACAGGGATCTTTGGGTCCTTGGGAGTTGGATTGGGGTATCCTCCTGGCAACGCCTCGCCTTTACGGCGGTTGATGGCTTTCTGGCTGGCTAATTGACGAGAAGCCGTGAGCCGCTTCGTCCGGTCGAACATGTCAGGCGTGGCTTGGGCCTGGTCAGGTGGCCATGATGACAGTAGCTCTGGCAATGTTTCATTGGCCACCTCGAAGACAGGCTGCGGGACAGTACGTGGTGGATAATGTAGCCGTGGGTCTGAGATGTTGAAGCCTAACATCACATTGGTGGGTAAACAGGCTGGATTCGTGACTGCTGCAAGCTGAGGCCAGACTTCCTCCGCCGATCCAACGTCCACCCATTCATCTTCTGCAAGGTTCTTTGCAGTAACCCTGGCAGCTTGCTCGGAAGCTTGCGATGGATGAAGAGCACCAATCAATGCCTCAGTAGATCCAGGTCCAACAATTTCGATGCTACCAATCTCGAACCTTAGATCCTCCACCATGACCTGTGGCCGTTGGATCTTGGCCACCTTCAAAATCTCGCTCCAGACCTGGAGGAAGGCAGACGGATGCACTCTCATAAGAAGTTTCCTCCTCGGTCTTTTCTTTTCCTGCTTGACCACCTGCTCTGCTCCATCTTTTCCCGCCAAATTGACCTCCATTCCCTCCCCATCTCCGCTCTGCGGTTCGGGCTCTGTCTCTAGTTCGGTTCCTTTCTCCTTATCGATCTGTCTTTCTCGTCCAGATTTTCCCAGGTCTTCTGCGGGTGAGGCATCAAAACACCACACAATGCCAACTCTAGAGATCCACATCCTCTCGCCATCTCTCTCCCTGATCCAACCTTCCCAGCCTCTAGTACCTCTCCTCCATTTTGCCTCCCTCTTCCCAATAAGCATGTTCTCCTCTACTCCAATACCCTTCAGTAGCCCCAACAGACTGGGTTCAACCCCCTCGATTCCAATAGTGCTTATATAGCTCGTATCCCAAGCAACACAGCCTCTCAAAGATGCAGCACGATGCGTAGGCCTATAGCATTTATCCGTCGGCGTCAAGGGTATCGCAAATCGCCATAACGGCTCCTTCGGCGGAGTCATATGCGCTCTCTTTGCATGGTACAGATGTGTAGGAAGCCATTGCTTATGGACTTGGCGTTTGCGGAATTTGGCTGGAGGGTTTGCAGGTTTTGCAAGGGTATCTTTCTTGAGCTTGCGTGATCGAGGAACAATAGCCACCATCTTTTCAGGATCTGTTTCCCCAGGCTTTTGCGTCTTTGCCGCAGCACGCTTCTTCTTAGTCAGAGCGCCCAGCTCTTTGAGTTTCTTTGCCTTCTCGAGTCGGAGTCTCTGGTGGGGTGTTGGCTTTCTTCGACGAGCCGTTACCGTTGGCGCATTATCTTCCTTCATCTTTCCACTTGCGGTACTAGGTCAGCCATTCATCTCCATTGAAGATCTTGCTTGTGGCCTCGACGCACCTCCTTTGCTGCCCTCGCTCTGAGCCTCTTGGGCACCCTCTTCACATTATGACTAGCTGTCCTTCTCCTCAGATCCTTCGGCACCTGCTGGAACGCTCTCGTAGAAAGGCTGTTCTTCGAAGCCCCCATGCTCGCAGCCATTGCTTTGATCTCAAACTCGCGAGCCTTGACGAAGGCGGATACGTCAAGATCGCCATTCTTGCTCAAGGCTTTGTCGGAAGTCTGGGCGAGGATGTTTCTGGCTGAAGAGGTTTTGACGCGTTTGGCTGCACGCTTAGCGGATGGGGGAGGATTGCTATGGTGGGGAGACTGCTTGCGTTTAAGGGGCCCCGAGGGAGCCATTGTAGGCCGAAGGTTCGAGACACAGCCCTAGAATATGCCACTATACATCCGTATGGATCAAGACTTCGTTGAGTACGACGAGAGAATGATTGAGTTCAACGCGCTTGGCACGTCTTGTGCGCACAGTTACTCATACAAGTAAGCTAGGCCGAGGATGACCAGATGGCAGATTAGAGTTTCGAACACAAGTAAGATTAGATTACTCTAAGTTGAGGATCGCCCAGGCTTTCCTCTCGCAGTTGCCTCTGCCATTGTATAATTATAACGGTTTGAAAGCCATTTAGCATGCATATTATCACCCAGTCCACGCCAAAGCTAAGGTATACCATATAAGCATACCGCTTGCTACACCTCTAAACAAACATGGAACTACGGGCATGCTGCCAGTAAAGTAGCAATTTTCGGTCCTAGCTTCCTCCAAATTTAACGCACTCAGAGAGTCAGAGGTAACAAGCCAAGACGATCGACGAAGTCCGAACAGAGATGCTTTATGAACCTTGTACTTTGTGATTACTTTATGTTATTAACACTCGAGGGGTTTCTACCCTATTGCCATTTTTTCAAGCAGCGCCCCCGCCTACCACCGTGGGGTCAATGTCTGCATTCCACTTGCTCAAAATTTATACAGTAACGCGACACCTCAGCACTCCTCACCTTCATCCTCCTTTCCACCCATTCTACTCGTCATCGTTCTCCATTTCCCGCCCTTCGCCTGCGTTATCGTACTGACGAGCTTGAGAGGAGCGTCTTTCGACTCCCTGATTGGATATTTGATTTGGGCTGCAGGTACATTAGTCACAGTCATGCAAAGGTCGGCGATAGCATTGACTCACCCATGCCAATAGGGTGGCAGTTTTGATAGATGTTTTCCCATGCACCTTTCGGCACAGCGTACGTTTCATGCATAATGCCGATATGGGGATACTTCTTGTTCTGCGCAGCCCACCAGTCCCAGCCCAGACGATGAGTCGGGCCATGAGCGAATGCGTGCAAATGTTCTATGTCCTTCCAGTAGGAGATGGTCACCAAAGCATTGCCGCCTGCAGTAGCCATTTGCATGGTGTTCGCTTTTCCGAGATCTATCATCGAGTCAGCTACAGAGCAGTCAGGAATGCTTCCAAATACTCACAGCCCCACTTCTCGCGGTCTGCTTCAGCATCCTTCCACATGTTTTGAAAGTAATCGCCTACATTCGCGAAACCTGGGGCGAAAAGACCCATTGGGCTGTCAGTGATTAGTGATTATCCCTTGACTCTTTGATTTTCCTCGGAGAAAGGCTCACTGATTGGTGTTCGCTCCCACGATGAAGACAACCAAGCCCTTATCAGCAGCCTTAGCTGGGATCGAGCCATCCTCGTCGGGTATAGGTGCTGTGCTCTTGTACAAGAAAGCTCCATCGGTGTATGTATTGTGGATATAGCCCAGGGTGATCAATGCACCTTTGGCGAGGCGTAGTAGGAGAAGAATCACGGCAGGAAGGAGAGCAACAGGGCGAGGAAGCGTAAGGAAGAGGATTGATTGAGCGCAGCCACCAGCGGCGAGCCATGTCTGTTATAATTTGGAGTCAGCATTGCCTATTAAAGGGGTTGCATTAGGCCTTGGAACATGTCTACAGAGTAGACACCCCCAAGACATGTTTCAAGACTTTAAGTAAATTTGGTCTGACGCTGATGCTGAAATTGGCGAGGAGCAAATCTGCCATGTTGCCCGATATATATATAATTTTGGTGTAATCAATGAGACGTTGAGATCAGAGACCTCCTACGATGGAACGATTGGGCAATCGAATCTAGGCGCTGTGCTGTTTCTAGGTCTGGAAAGAAAAGGAACGAATGTAGGAGATGAAATATACCAATGCAGGATTATTCTAACACCCCGACTCCGCCCTTACCTGACTGAACGGAGCAAAGTTGTGTGCACAATGAAGCGCTTTTGTTTGTGTTCGGAGCAGGTTTACACCGTGCACCGTGCCATGCCACGCAGACAGTCCTGACCTTGTTTCCTAGGGCCTAACTTTTTTTGCCAACCGCAGTCCGAATGGAATCCGAGTGTTCGTATTCCGTACGTGATGTGACCGGCATGTTCTTTCCTTCAAGAAAAGCCCGAGTTCGGAGATGGGAGAAATACTTGCAGCTCCACCGCTATCCGAACAAACCCCGCCCACCCTGAAGCATCTCCAGTCTCCCCTCTCGCCTCCGTCCCGCCCGACCCCGTCTGCCGTCAACAGTTGGGACCATCATGGCACAGCACAAACCTCCCTTCACCCTCGAAACCGCTCACCAGAAAGTCAAAGCCGCCCAAGCCCTCTGGAACACCAGGGACCCCTCCAAAGTGGCCCGAGCCTACACCCCCACGTCCATCTGGCGCAACCGCAGCACCTTCCTGCGCGGGCACGCCGCGATTGAGGATTTCTTGACGAAGAAATGGGAGAAGGAGAAGGAGTATAGACTGCGCAAGGAACTCTTTGCTCAGCAGGACAACAGGATAGGTGTACAGTTTTGGGTTTGTACATATCGGAGTGGTTCCTTCCTTCCTTCCTTCTGAAGGCCGAACTCTGGGCTGCAAGACAGATTTCCCGAGCAAAAAGGCTCTTTCTAGACCCGAGAACTGTCTTGCGAGTCTGAGTTTTACCCTTTATACCCAATGCTGACTTCCGAAATGGGCGCAGTACGAATACAGGGATGCGCACGATTCCATGGTCTGGAAACGCTGTTATGGCATTGAGCACTGGACTTTTGCTGCCGATGGGAAGATGGAGAAGAGGATGATGAGTGGAAACGATGTGGTGATTGGAGAGGAAGAGAGATGGTTCAGGGACGGGGTGGATGTTGACAGCGTTGCCCTGGGAGAGGCGGACTTCTAAGGGGAGTAAAGGAAAGAGAATGGAGGTGGGAGGGGCAAGGATGCGGGAAGAAATTGTCCTGGTGGCGGTGGGCGTTAGGATTCACATCAAGGAGACACGGAGGATGCTGTATAGAGGGTAGATAATACCAGAGGTACGTGATGGATGCAATTGTTAAGTAAAAGCATACTACATGGAAAGATGGTTGTTAGACCGAGAGGGTTTCGTGGTGCGTATTGTCAAGGTCAAGATGCAGTCTCAACATACGTTTCTAAAGCATCATAACCACAAAAATGTCCCACGACTTGCCATGCTTTTAACGAATCCTGTAGAATTATTGCGGCATGAGAATCAGTGAACTCGTCTGATTATTAGTTCACACATTGCTACCTATCTACCCGTCTCTCTGACCTTGCTCTTCCAAAAAGTATCCTCGCGAGCAATAAAAATGGGTGATCAGACAACCTATTCCCTTTCTCGTAAATCTTGCTTCTAGGGCTTCAGCGCATGTGCGCTCCGATCTGGTAGAAATACAAGTCAAGAAAGATAAAAATCGCGCGATTTGCCTTGCAACAGGAGGAAATCCTGAAACGCACGCCGCACGCTGAAGAAATGCCTGGATTTTGTAGCCGCCCGTGGTTGTCGCAGATTGTTGCTGGAAAGAAAATCGGGGTTTCGGGTATTAGTGTACGTAGCTGTATACCGTACTGAGTTGCGAGGTGGAAGCGAGGGAGAAGGAGAGATCGGAGACAATAGACGGTTGGCAGACAAGCTTCCAATCCAGCAGGAACCTGTCCTTCAGCCTCTTCGGTCCACTTGTCGGACGCTCCAATTCGGACGTTGCAAATTGAGAATTCTCCCCACGAAGGCGAAAGCATGCCTAGCTAGGACCCTTTTTGTTCAAGGCCCTTAACATATCACTATCCGCACTCGACCTGCCACCAGAGTTGTCTTGCGCCTGTCCTGGACCTAGCAAATCTCGGACAGCCATCCCTCCCCGCTGCGCACTACCGTTGCCATTTCCATTGCCGTTGCCCTCACGAGTCTGTCCCTGCGCCGGTGGAGGTGTCCGTCCTTCTCTTGGAGGCAACACTTGAGGTGGGTGGAGACCACCGGGGTAATTGTAGGCAGAAGCGGATGAGGTGCTTCCGTGAGGCGAGCCCGAGGCACGTGCATCGTATGAGTAGGCCGATTGAGGCGATGTGCGACGTGCTGGCGGGGGCTGCTGCTGCTGCTGTGGCGGGGGCGGTTGCTGCTGTTGAGGGGGAGGATAGTAAGGATTTGGACCCTGTGGCGGGTAAGGAGCTGATTGATAAGAAGTCGCAGATGATGCAGGTGAAACAGGGACAAGGCCAGTTGGGTCTGGATACTCATATGCCCCACCGGAGCCACGGCGACCAGTTGAGGCCGGAGGACGACCCTGGTAGGGGTGAGAGGAGTACTCTTCTGGAGGTGCAGGTGGGGGAGGAGCAGGCTGGAAAGACTCGTCCGAACGGAGACGTTTGAGACTCACTTTATCTTGAGCATGGGGAGGCTGTGGGTGGCCTCGATCATCGTAGACGGGGCCGCCTTGATATGGCCCAGGAGGCGGCATAGGGTAGCCGTGAGGCGGCGGGTAATTAGGGTCGTGTGTCATTGGCCCCAGTGGTTGTCCGTGAGCCCCGTAAATAGCAGGCTGCCCTTGTTGAGGATACAACGGCCTTCCACCACGTTGGGGTTGCAGAGCCCCAGTATTGCGAAGGTGTGGATACGCAGTGTGGGCTGGCACAAAGGCTTGCGCTTGGGAGGAGACTGGGGTGAAGATGCATTCTTGCTGGAAGCGTTGGCAGTTGGTACAACGACCGTCATCTGATGCTTCGAAGCCAGAGCAACGAATCTGCACCGGATCAGCATGACTCGAGACATGTTCGAGACGAGCCATGACGTACCTTGCGCCGCCTACAATAGCGACACGCGATGGCCGTCCGCTGCCTCGGTGCCGGTTGACTCTGATAGCCCATGTGAGGTTGTCCCATAGCTCGAGGATCCGGAGGCCCGTAAGGAGAATACATATCGTGGGGTGGCATTGCGTATCGCATGTCTGGATGGCCCTGTGGAGGTGGAGGTAGAGTTACCATCTCGCCAGGTGTTGATGGAGAACTTCCGTAGCCCGGTTGCGGAGGACCCTTTGCAAGCTTACGTTAGCAGAGGGACAGAACGACGAAGGTGGTGATGATGATGATGATTGATGTAGGGGTACTTACTCGATAATGTGGTGGGACTGGATATGCACCTCTTTGTGGTTGGCTATCCCACTGCGGAGGCGGATACTGTCCGGGTTTGTTTGGATCGCTGGACATTGGCGGAATGGGAGGAGGTTGACCTTTTGTGAGTCAAGTTGTTTTAGAGATGCCTTGGACCTATTCTCATGTTCCTCAAGTAGCGGTCAGATTTGGGTCAGGAGACGGTTGTGGGTCGGATGGAATGACCAGATCGAAAAATAAAGTTGCGGTGAAGGCCGAGCGGCGATGGATGACAGGTTCACAGCTAACGACCGGGTGTTCGTGAAGGGTAGAAGCGGAAGGAGCGACTGATTGAGTAAGCTCCGATGCTCCTGATGGCTATTGGATGCTTCAATTGAGGACCAGTGGCGAATGATCGAGGACGTGTGTCGAGAGGAAGTATGTGTTGGCGGGTGTTGGATGATTGGTGATTGGTGATTGGTGATTGGGGGGAGGGGAATGAAGGGCGAAATGCGATGTGTAATGTGTAAATGTTGTAAATGATGTTTTTTTTTTAATTTATTTTTTATTAATTTATCTTTTGGTTGGAAAGAATTGTGATGAGTTTGGGGGAAGGGAAGGGACGGACCCAGCTGAATGGGTTCCGGGTATTTAGGTTCCCTTTTTTTCGCACGCTGGTAAAAGCCGGTGCTTGGGAATTGTGGCAGGCGGGAGCGGCACCTGTCTTTCTTAGTCTCATAGACCGATGTGCTGCTTGCTGTGTCCAGCGGCAAATGCAATCAATATTTTCTCTATCACTGGCTAGGTATATAAGTCCAAGAATCCTGTGAGGTCTGTGACGGCCGTCTGGAAAGGAGAATTGTGGTCGAGGTAGGATCCCGCGTGGTGCGTGTGGGCTTGAAGGAGCAACGTAAAGTACAGTAAGGTATGAGCGTTTTGCTTAGTGTTGGAGCCTGAGACCAGTGACCATACTTTTTAGTACACGAATCCGCCTCGTACTCCACCTATACCGCCACTTGTAATAACAATAATAACACAAAATAATACATACTTAATAACAGTAACAAGAATGATAATCCAGGTCAGCTGTGTGAAATGTGAATTTGAACCAAAGGCACCCGGCTGGAAATTGGAAAGTTTATGCTGCTTCTCGTTTAGAGAAATCCAGCGTCCAAAAGTCTAAGAAGGCATGTCGCGCTCCCCTTTATGCCGAAAGCTTGTTGGGTGTAGGGGTGGGAGGTGATGCGGTGACTTAAAAAAGATGCCACACAATACAACAAAACACATAAACAAGGGAAAAGGAAAACGAAGAAAATCAGTTTCACCTTGATCAGTTCATTTACGGTACTTTACATTCTACGACGTCTAAACTGCTTGCTCAGGGCGGAGAGCTGAAAGAACGCGACCATATATAAAGGTACCCTTGTAACCTCCTGGTTTCATCATGCTTCCTGCGCCATGTGTGAATCTTTGCTCAGGACAAGTGAGTGTATGTATTCGATCCATACATAAAGCGCTGACTTTGATCCCGTATTCAATACATCTCGTAGGCTTAAAGTGGCAGTGAGTATGATGAGTGTGCTTTGGCGAACCCGAACCGCTGCAAGGTCAAAATTGGGCTGATGCACGAAGGCTCAGCCCGCGCTGGAATCGTTGTCATTGGCGGGATCTTTCGCTGATTATGTACATTTTGGGAATAGCTGGCTCAGTTGGCTTTGGGGGCCACTTCCTTCGTCTTGGTACCTCCTTGCCGTCTTTCCCCTGTCCCTTGCTCCCAGGCACGCCGGGGTCAAAGCGCATTTGCTGAATTCAAGTCATCGCTACCAAAGCATTTTCGATCGAAAGAGTACGGCTGCATAAGTGCAAGAAAGAGATGGCGAGAAATGGTAGGGAAAAGATAGACGGGTGACGAATGAGCGCGTTGATCGGTGGGCCGGAATGGAGATAGTGTGGATGATATAAACCTTGACGACCACGCGAGGATCGACCACGCCGCCTGAGGTGCCGCTGCTCCAGGATGACGACCCTAGTCCCTAGCTCTCCTCACGGCCGAAAGTCTCTTTTCTCTCTGTAAAGTAATCCGCATCAGGAGGCCACCCGGAAAATGGCGCCAATAATTGTCAGAGCCACGCACGGTTTGGGCCAGCAAGGCACGATACTTTTTTCTCAGGCCATGGAAAAAAGGGCGTCTGGCCTCTACATCTCGTGCGCATGGAAGACAGGGTTTTCGTGCATGCGTCAAGCCGAGGCTGACGTGGCTTATGCATTATCGAGATCAAGTAGGTAGTACGGAGTGCGAAGCTTCCGACGAGCATGTGAACACGTTACAGGAGTTACGGTTCGGCACGAAGGAAAGCCGTCAGGGTTTGGCCGTGTCAGACTCGATACTTACATGTATGATGCCACAGCGCCAAATAGTGGAGAAAGTTCAAAAAGACAACATTTCCCGCCCGAGGTGACTTTGGTTTCAAGCCATGCACCAAAGCCAATCCCGGCCAAGTGGCAACTTCTTTTGCCAAACTCCCAGCTTTGCCGCTCGTAATCTTGACTCCCTCAGAGCGGTGTGGTCGACGGTAATAGTATTTCGCAATCTTGCCTGACTGTGGCTAGCTGAAGGTGTCATGTGCAGCGATCAAGTCGAGAACGTTCCAATAAGCTGCAGTAGTTGGAAGCCTGAACGGATTTCCCTCATCAAATCTCTCCGCACATGTGCGCATCCACACCAAGTCCCTGTGCAGGGATATTCTTGGGCATCGACGCGCAGAAAAGCTAAGCCGTTCCGAGACAAGCACCAGCTGCGAATCTGCGAAAGCGTGCTGCACGTAATGACGCACTTTAGCGTAGAAACAGGGGGTTGCCGCTGAAGTGTGGCACAGTATTTGTTATGAGGGGCACACTGCTGGTTGATGCTTTCCAAAAGAAAAGAAAATTCTAATACGGGGAGTGCAATAAATGCTGACAAAAGCCGTCTTATAACGATGTAGAATTTACTCTCCGTGATCATCTTAACAATGCCGTATTGCCAGTATCCATATTGTCACGCATGTGGTGGCTGATGGCCTTTTGACTCTTGCCTGGTACACAAATCCCACCACATGCGTCGCCCCTCCCCCCTCCCCTCCTTGGGAATCGGGTGCGCCATTTAGACCGACAGACTGCATGGCATAGCGGGGACCGCCAATTTCCGACCTACGCCTAGAACATCTTTGACATGTAGGTTGTCACACCGCTTGATTGTGGGGTCCTTGACGTAAGGAGAACTGATTCCCATTCGCTATGGCGCATGATTGGGGCTTGTGAGACTTGTAAGATTTAAGATGGGAAATGGAAAATGGAAAATGGAAGGGAGTGGACTGGTTGAGATCAAGGCTCGTTTACCGCGCACCGAAGGTTCGGCTAGAAAGGCAACTCTGAAGCTATGCGGCCCCATAGGGTAGAGGGTAGAGCCGGTGCGAGCAGCGGGCTGGCTTTTGGGGAATTGGGATATTTCGCTCGGGTTCCATGCTGACGGCTCGAAGCGAGTGCCATGTGTCTCGGTGTCTCGTGAGGCTGCCGTGATCAGATGCGGGAACGGGACGCTGCATGGGGGGGCGTGTATCATTTGGAGACAAGGCTCAGCGCTTCGAAGCATGCAAGCCAAAAGATGCAAGTAATATTGATGCAGGCTCGGCAAGGACAGCTGCTCCTCTGCTCATTCGCTTCAAGCCTACGAATGGTGGTGTCTTGTGATCACGTCAATTTCCCGTTCACCCGAACGTTCCATGTTCGATGCTGCGTGCGGAGGCAAGTAAAAGCGCAAGCATGAATCCTGATCGCTTCATTTGGCCCTCCATTGCGAAAGAAAGGAACTTCGCATGGATGTGGACTTTGGCGTTGGAGGACGCTACAGCCTACGACTATGTCATCCAATGAAGCAATCTTCTACCTCATCTTCTGTTACACCACATGGTTTCACGCGAAGCGCATGGATGTCAGCGCGGTCCCACTTCGGTCCTGATGGTGATGAGACTAGGCTGCCTCTCTTCCATGTACAACGGCGGATAGTGTTGTTTCTATTTGCAGATCTTGGAATCAGCCCGTCGTAGCTCTTGGAAGGCAGGATTTTGACATGTGTTTACGAAACGGCGTAAAGTGGCGCCATTATTGTGATGGCTAAGGTACGGGTCGGTCGATAGGGATTACGGAGTCGAGAAAAGATGTAGCTAGGAGCCTAAAAGGGCTTGTTAAGGCAGAAGGATGAAGTTGTCCAACCGCCTGGTGTGCTACTACTAGGTTTAGGGTAGTAGGTATGTCGGTCGTAGGTATGCCGGTAGTAGGTATGTCGAACAATGCGACCAAGAATGCGTCCGTCTTGGGCGGGCGAATGATTTGCCCAGGGATGACACGGACCTTGTCCAGTAGTAAGGGTAAGGTAAAGTAGTGGTAATCAATTGGCTTCGGCCGAGTCGGGAGTGCGGTTTGTCGCTGCTTTAGGGGTCAAGGTTCAAAATCCTGCGGGCCAATACGGCAGGGTAGAATGCCGGTAAAGTAAAGTAGCGTTGTGGAAGGTCAGATGACTGGAAATGCATGCGAGTCTAAGAGCTAGATTCCGCTCGAATTTTAAAGTAAAAGCATGCCTGATGGAAAAGACGATAAATTAGACGAATTAACGGAGGCGGAAGGGATGCTCAGCGGGCCGAGAATTTCTACTTTCTTTTTGTATCCCAGGCCAAGGCCTCAACAATAATCAAATTATCAACATTCCTTGATCAAGATTCTTTCAAATAACTCAAGGCAATTTCAATGGGATTGAAGTTAACCACCACGGGGGAATAGGGTAAGGTAATGAAAGGCAATAGAGCACAGGAGTCAAACGATCATGGGCTTATCGACTGCTGGCAGGTACTCGTACTCGTAACGTACTGTGGCCAACTGCCTTGGAGCATCTGCCGAGTAGGGTGTATTGGCGATGCCAGCTCATCATCAATGGACTGGAGCATGTGGAAGGTGTGAGTACGATGAGGTGTTTGTGCATGATGCAGGCCGCATTGCCAGTTGATCAGGACATTTCTACAGTATGTAATGCGCCCGTCAAGGGAACGAGGAGCGAATGCATTAGCGCTATTTGCTAGCCAAAA